CTGCGCGCAGCTGGGCCACCGATAGAGCTACGGCGTTCGCTGCACGGGCTGCATCAGGCTCCGGTGCCTCAGCGACGTTGACGTCGGGTTGTGCTTGGTTGACGGGTCGTGCTTGGTTGACGGCAGGGATGACAATGGTAGCCGCCCGTTTTGGCCCCAATGACGTATGCCGTGACGCGCACTGGCCTTTATTATTTTGAAAACAATGCCTTGTCATTTGTATCTAACAAATCCAATGTATTGCAAGCACAACTTTTTTTATTTTCAGATAATGGGGTGCTGAGCAGGTCTCCTATTCGTACGCTCTAACGAAATTGAGCATAGATAGAATCACCTTTTCTTAATTTGGTTCCCAAATCAAATGCTGCTGCGCCACGCCATCTTGGCCAGCAGAGCGGATTCCGTGTGGCGCGAGCGCACTGGTCGGTTCTCAACCATCAGCGGATCTTGGGCAACTGCACGCTTGCGCTTGCTCTCAACTGTTGCCCGTGAGCGCTTGACGGGGTCGTCGTCCGACGTCAAATGCCAGCAGCGCATGGCTTCGAACGACCTTGCCCCTGGGCGGCGTCTGGGAGGCGCGATTCGGGTCGAGCGGCTCCAGCCGCCGTCGCACATTTCTCCGGAGGTTGGCATCCGCGAGACGCTCGCAATAATTTCCAGCGCCGAACGGGCCCTACTAGTACTTGGGTCCTTATGCAGTTGAAGAAGACAGAGGGCCCGTTTTGTATCAAGCTAGTATCAAGTGGTTGGTGACGAACGACGCCGGTACCTACTAGTTAGTACATGTCGATGTGCTCTCCACGGTACAAGCACAGCGCCTTGAGCCGGTGCGCCCAGCTCCAGTGGCGGTGATGCTGCACCCCGCGCAGGGCGAAATAATAATGAGCCCCTGTACCCCTAACCACGCTGCGCAACACTGCGCGGCCAGGATCGCCAGGTTTTGTGTTGTTTTTATTGTATTTCAATACCGAGAAACACACCGTGCCAACTCGTCCAGCGGGGCGGCGGCGTCCTGCGCGAGGTGCGTCGGCCAAGTTGCGGACGCTTGGCTTACTCTCGGTGACCATCGCGCCGCAAGCTCATCCAAGGATGCGGTCATGGCTCGCGTTTGATTCGCGCCAGAGTGACGAAGAAGCCATCAAGTACATTTTAGATACGCGACCGTATCATTCTTCAAAACAAATTCAGGTCATTTTAGTATCGCTCAAGCACCGAAAGCAGTGTTAACGGTGATGCGCACACCCGGTTCGTGTCGGCAGATGCCGAAAATTCCAGCAGAAGCCACATCCAGATGCTTTAACCGGCGTCGTCCTCGGCAGGCAACATCACGAGACCTCGGATTCGAGTTAGGCACCTCACATCGGGACCTCCGATAAACGTGAATTCAGCAAAGATCGTGCAAGACACCTCGACGTCTCTGCACCGAAGAGATTGCGGTGCGCAAAAGACCACAACCACACCGACAGCCCTACCCCTTGTCCCCACCGGGATACCACCAACGACGACAGTGAACCCTTGGACATGGCGCGATTCTCACATGCGCTATCTTATGCTGCGCCCGCCCGCTGTTGCAACACCCAAACTGTCGCGAGATCGAGGCATACAAACACACGTTCTTCTTTATACGCAGTGCGGGCGACACGGCGTCCCTGGCAACATGCAGTACAGTACTGGTACCTCTTACAAGGCGACGCGCGAGATGGAGCGGTACCCGTTGCGCTGGCGCGTCGTGAAGAAGCCGACGAGGAACATGACGCCGACGCCACCCGTGGCCGCGGCCGCGAGCGCATACGACTTGTTGCTGGCGAGCGTCGTCAGGAACGAGACGCTGCTCGTGCCCGATTCGTTCGGGTAGCTGCCCGGAAGACCCAACTCCTGCGCGACCTCGTAGCACGTCAAGCCGCCGTTGAGCGACGGCTGCGTGACGTCGCCCGTGGCAAGGTCGATGACACAGTCGACCGCGCACGTCTTTTCCTCTACGACCAAGCACTCGTCGTTGCGACCGCCGTTCTG